GGCTCCTTACCTTCTCGCTTCCCTCCCGCGCTCGCCGCCGGAGCGTTCTTCGGCGACAACCTGGATTGTCCTCGACCTCCTCGGGCCTTCCCCTCGATCCTTCGACCTCGGCCCTCCTCCTCCTCCTCCTCCTCCTCGCCCTGGACGAGGAGGAGGAGGAGGAGGGCCGAGGAGGAGGGCCGAGGAGGAGGAGGAGGGCCGAGGAGGAGGAGGAGGAGGAGGAGGAGGAGGAGGAGGAGGAGAAGGAAGAGGAGGAGAGGGCGACTCGGCCTCCTCAGGCCATGCGCCGTCGAGCTCCAGCAGGCGTCGCTCGGAGGAGGAGAGCGGGGAGGGGGAGCGGGGCGGGGGAAGGGGGAGCGGGGCAGCAACGGCAGCGAGGAGGCAGCGAAGCAGGCCGCGGGCGCGCCAGCGGAGGCGGGGGCCAGGCGTCTGCGCCGCCGGGCCTCGTGGGCCTCTGGCGCCGCTCGCGCGGCAAGGAGGAGGAGGCAGAGCAAGAGGGAGGGGGGGCAAGAGTGGAGGCATTGTGACAGAGACGTCAAGGACACCCCAGAAATGCTCCCAAATGCTAAAGAGCGGCCAAAAGATGGTCCCCAGGCTATTTTTTGGCTATTCTTGAATCTTCCTCCTGTGGAGGGACAGGCCCGACTTAAGAGTAGAGACATCCTGGGGGGCAAGAGTCGAGGCATCCCGGGTGGTGTCCGAGTCGATGGGGCCGGAGGCTCGCGCCGCACCGCCGATGCAGCGGCGATGCGGCCCGATGCGGAGCCCGACTTTCTCGACGCCGATGCGCCGCCGACGGCGCGGCCGCCAGCGCCGTTGCGTCATCGCTGCATTGGCGATGCGGCGCGATCCTCCGTCCCCATCTGCAGGCGGCCCAGATTAGTAGGTCGACCCTGCCAGATCAAGGGTGCCCTCGTGCCCTGTGTCTCGCGACCCGCGCCTCCTGCACTTCTCTGGCAGCGTGGCCCTCGGAAGGGCCTTGTGTCCTCTTGCGTGTCCTCTCCAATCAAGTCCGACGGTGCTCCAAACTCCGTCTGGGAGCCCTCCGGTTCTGTACCCGTCGGTGGGCCGGCCCGGCCCGTCGCGCTCTTTGCTCTGCGCGGCCGTGCCGCGGGCCCCCGCCGCAGCTTTTTTTGGGGTCCTCCACGGGCCCGCCGGCAAAAGTGCAAGCAACCCGCGGTGCGGGTGACCTGCCAGCTCTGCATGCGACTCAGACAGGCTGACCTGCTGGTGAGGTTACAGCGCCGTTTTTAATACATGCTCCGCGTGCGGATCATGGTATTAAAGATGCAGGGCTTCAGTATTAAAACCAACGATGAGCTCATGCGTAAATTCATTCATAGCTTGATCATGAATTTTAACATGCTCAACTTTTGAAAATCCCATGTACTAAAAATTGCCCTGTAGTCTGAGTCGCCTGAAAGGTCGGCTCCAGCCCCTGCCGCAGCCCGACGGGTCCGACCGACGCTGGGGCCCAGCGGGCCCCCCATCGCCGGGGTGGGCCTGGCCTCGGGCAGCCTTCGGGTGCCGAGCCCTGGCCGGAGTTGTCCAGGCTGCCGGCCTGCAGGGGCAGGGCTCACGCGCGGCCTGGGAGGGAAAGACACACACACACAGACACAAGTCATCGTCGATTCCCCAGAAGATATGGGGAAAATATGGGAGGTGGGGGGGAAGACGACCCCTCCCCCAAAAAAATATGGGAAGATATGGGGAATCTTCTTATTTGTGTGTGTGTAGTTATCTGTGTGTCCTTGGGCCCCTTCAAAGCTGCCGGCCTGCAGAGGGGCCGGGTTCACACGTGGTTGCTTGCTTGCCTCTCGGTCTCGCGTGGGCAGTGCCACCAAAAACCCTCGCGTCCTGATGCCTCTCGCGCTCCGCGCACGCACCTGCTCGCTCACGGCGCCTCGCGCGGCGCGTGCGGACGTGAAGTCGGTGGTCCAGTGCGCCGACGACGTCGTGCCGTGCGTCGCGGAGTTCGGCCCGGGGACGCTCAGCTTCGTGTACAGGCCGCCGTTCTCTTTAGTTGCTCTGGCCTTGTCGTCCCTTTCTCCTCCGCTGCTCTCTCTTTGTCCGGGGAGGGAGCGATGATGGGTACAGTCAGGACGCTGAGATGAGGACCACTGATCGGGGGTGGACAGAACCCCCACCCTGACACGTCGATTAGTGACTTGTTCGTGTTCGGTTCTCGAGAGGGCGCCGCGGTCGTCATTTTCCAGGCTTGCGCCCGCCAGGTTCGGGCCCGAGGTCGTTTTCACTAAACCACGTTTTGCTAAAGGGGGTTCTGTCCATCCCCGAACTGAGGGCTCAGGAGGGGCTCAGGTTTTCGGGGCCGTTCCCTGAGTCTGCGCTCAAGTCGGGCGTGTCCCTCCACAGGAGGAATATTCAAACATAGTCAAAAGATAGTCAGGGGGTGTTTTTTTCGGAGTATGTTTGAGCAGTTCTTGCGCATGCTTCGACTACTTTTTTATTTCCCGTCGAAGATCCGCCTGTAGGAGGACAT